AACCCTAAACCCTAAACCCTAAACCCTTAACCCTAACCCTAAACCCTAAACCCTAAACCCTAAACCCCGAAACTCTAAACCCCGAAACCTTGAACCCCAAACCTTGAACCCCAAACCCTAAACCCTGAAACCCCAAACCTAAACCCTAATGATGTAATTTGCCGTATGCAATGCTAACAAAATGATATCTAATAAGATTTATAACTAAGGGCCTGGTCACATTTATTGAATTGAACTGTACTGAACTGATTGGAGCTGAACTGAACTGAACTGAACTAAGGTGAAATGCATATTTTATGAGAGAGGGAAATTAAGAACTGAACTGATTGAATCTGAACTGAACTGATTGGAGCTGAACTAAAGTGAACTAAACTGAAATTAAGTAAATGTGAACAGGCCCTAACCCCTTAATTATTGTTGTTGGAAAGATATAGGTGTTCCGTGTTTAATTCATCTAAATTACTCCGTATTTCAATTTAACTTATTACTCCTTTAATTATTCTTGATTTCTCCATTATATTTACCCCTAAATAGATTTGATTTATTAGTTTTTGTTTTTATAAGGTAAAGAGAACATCCCAATATGAAAAACTTAGCTTATAAGTACTACAACAACTGAGTCAAGGACTCATACTTTCTTCTTTAATGGTGAAATTAGGACCCCAACATATTGAGGCATATTTAATAATTTACTGGTAGTTATATTTATGAACATATTTGACTATCTAGTTTGATTAGCATGATGTACATAGCTAGTTGTGTAAAAAAATGTTTGGTAAATACTAGTGATTAATTGTTAGTTGCTTCAGTATATTATGTAAAAAAAAAAAAGTATTGTTCATTAACTAATTTAGTATAAAAGAAACTTTTGAACCCAGATTAGGTTTTAATAGAAGTTACGAAGTACATATTTATCAAACACCTAAATTAATTTTTTCATAATAGTCAAACCTATGATAGGCTACCTTTTTTTTTTTTTTTTAACAAACTATGATAGGCTACTTTAATGCAAAATCAATATTGATTCTAATAAATCACCTAATTTAAATAAAAAAATAAAAACAAACTACTAAAACAGTAAAACTCCAAACATACACCAATTCACAACATTCACAAACCCATGAATTCAGTCCACAAAAACAAACCCAAAATACAACCTACGGCAAAAACCACAAACCTTAACCCATGCCCCTTCTTTCCCCCATTTCATTCCCAGTTTCCCACCGCATTCATCCCTCACAAACCCCTATTTTCTCTTTCCCCCTTCCCCTCCCCTTTCCGCCGCCATGGGAAGAGTGATCCGAGCTCAACGTAACCCACCACCGCAAAGGCCCCGCCAAGTTCCGAACCCTCGACTTCGGCGAGCGCAATGGCTACCTCAAGGGTGTTATCACTGAGGTCATCCATGACCCTGGTCATGGCGCACCCCTTGCTCGCGTCACTTTCCGACACCCTTTCAGGTACAAGCACCAGAAGGAGCTCTTCGTTGCTGCTGAGGGTATGTACACTGGTCAATTCATCTATTGTGGGAAGAAGGCTAATCTTATGTTGGGAATGTTCTTCCTTTGAGATCTATTCCTGAGGGAGCTGTTGTTTGTAATGTTGAACATCATGTTGGTGATCGTGGTGTTCTTGCTCGTGCTTCTGGAGATTACGCTATTGTTATCTCTCACAACCCTGATAATGATACTTCTAGGTATATTTCTGTTACTTCTCTGTTTTGTTGAGAAATTTTATATGATTTTGTTTTCTGGGATTTTGAATTGTAATATTTGTTTGTGATATGATTTTTGGATGTTTTATGAGTTTTGTTCTGCGTTAGAAATGTATATTTGAGTTAGGTTTTTGTTTTTGGATTGAAAATTGGGATCTTGCTGTATGATTTGTTTGTGTTTTGATTTAAGGTATTGGATTCTAGATTATATTTATGGTGATTATTGATTTGGGTTTTTGTTTTGGATTAAAAAATTGGATCTTTTTGTATGATTTGTTTGTGTTTTGGTTTATTGTTTTGGAGTTTAGATGATATTTATGATAATTGGTTTTTTTAGTTACATTGTTTTTCTGGGTTTTGATTATGATGATACTTGTTACAAGATTGGTTTTGATTATGATGATACTTGTTACAAGATTGGTTAAAAGGAATTTTTGTATGTAATTTCTGTAAAATTTATGAATGCGACTGTTTTTGAAATGACTCATCGATTTGAGCTTAGAGGTATGTATTGATGATTTGCAGACGATAGAATAAATATGTTCAATAAATTAGTTCAATGAAATTTGAATTTGGCCATGAAACTTTTTGTGAGAGAAATATCTGTCATTATTTAGGTGTATTATGTATGTCATTTATGTGGAATATAGATGTTGCGTAGGTTGTAGGTTATAGGTCGATACAATCATAAAATTCTTAATAGACTTACTAATCTGTATAAGTACAAATTTCAGTCCTTTAAGTCATGTTCCTGGGGCAGAGTGTTTGATAATAATTCCATTTTGTGTTATTGTGAAGCATGATGTATTATTAATGTATTATTGTATTGTGATGTGGATTAGGGAAGTGCAAGTGAGCTGTTAGCATGATACTTGCCTATCTCTGTGGCAATTGAGATATTATCAAACTCTATTTATAAATTCTGATTGGACCTATTTAACAAAATCTACTCTGTTGCAGGATCAAGCTCCCATCTGGTTCCAAGAAGATTGTTCCAAGTGGTTGCCGTGCTATGATCGGTCAGGTTGCTGGTGGAGGTCGTACTGAGAAGCCACTTCTTAAGGCAGGAAATGCATACCACAAGTACAGAGTGAAGAGGAACTGATCATGCCAGTACAGTTCGTAGAGATGAATTCGTGGTGTTGCTATGAATCCAGTTGAGCATCCTCACGGAGGAGGTAACCACCAGCATATTGGTCATGCCAGTACTGTTCGTAGAGATGCACCACCAGGGCAGAAGGTTGGTCTTATTGCCGCTAGGAGGACTGGTTGTCTTCGTGGTCAAGCTGCTGCTAATCTTTCCAAGAGTGACTAGGCTTAATTTACTTGGGCATTTTATTGTCATTTTGATGTCTTTGTTTTGTTTATTTAAAGTTTGGAGTACCTATTTTAAAGATTGCAGTGCTAAGAATGGTTTTGTTTGCAATATTAGGAATGGTTTTTGCAATGGTGACGATCAATTTCATTGTGCTAGTTTTTTTTTAGCTTTCATCTGTTGTTGAATCAGCCTAAGATTAGTTAATTATTTGTATGAATTGCCTTGATGATAGCCTAAGTTAATACATCTTGACTCTTAGTTAAAGAGAGAAATATGCTGACATATCTATCATGCTTGTGATAATAAGAAGTAATTGGTTTGGGGTGTTTTAATGGACGCCTTCACACCTTAACTATAATGCTAGCTCATATTGTATAGTTAATACTTGTATAATTTTACAGAGGTTAAGCTCTTGGGTAAGGTGAATGATATAGTTTAGAGACACTGTCAGGCAAGATAATATCCACACATATTTGTAGAATGTTTTACAAGTCCTTGTACGGTGGCTATGATGAGCGTAAATTGCATAACTAAAACCTTACCTGGCTGGTATGCCAAACCTAATACCCGAACTCTTCTCAAGATCAACTGACACAATTTGGCCCAAGCTAACCTGCCCGATCCAAAAATAAATGTTCTTATAAATAATTACTTTATATCTAATTATTAAAATAAGTAGCTCAACGATAGATCTAAAAATGACCTACTTCAAACCCAAAATCAACTCGAACAAGTCAAATCCGAAAATAATCCAACCTAAAGAGACTTGATCCAAAACTATTACTACTATTGTTCTTCTGATAGAAATAACTTTGTTAATATGGCAACTAATAGGGCATATACTGTCATATCCATACAATGGGCAAAATGCTTGGATATATGTTTTCATTTCATCATTTTGTTTTTCTTCATCCCCCACCCATTACAAGACGGTTATCGCTTTATGATAAAACAAAACCATTATAAATTATATAAATATGAATCGTACTCAATTGATTTGCAAAATGTTTAGTACAATAATACCAAGAGTATATTTTCTATTGTCTTAGATACCACAATTTTGTATTGATTTAAGAATTACATTCTTGTCAGCCTCCAAAAAGTAATCCGGCTGCTTGCTCTTCATTGCCATTGAAAAGCTGGAGAGCTTGTATAACATCATTCCTTGGAAATCCTAGCTCTACAAGCTTTACGACTTTGGCTTCGAAATCAGGACCCTGCAGCAGAGACATAAGTCACTCAGATTCAGCTTTCTATACCCTCACATACTTGTCCAAGAGTCAGAATACTATTTTGGAAAAAGAGAGAGAGAGAGAGAGAGAGAGAGAGAGAGATTTAATGGATACTTTAATATTCCAAGTGAGACAGTTTTGAATACTTATTTAAGAATTAAACTACCATGTCACTGATTCTCTAAATGCAGTTCATGTTGACATACTAAAGTGTACTGAGGACTACTAACTATCCTAAATGGATAAATTGTAACATGACATGTTCAAGCATCATAGCAGACTTAGACTCAATCAACATAGCAATATAGCTTCACTGTAGAAGATAATGTACAAATAGAAGAAAAAGATGAATTTGGGTGATATGTGGTCACAAACAGGCTTTTTGATAAACATTTCAAGAAGATTTAACAATCAAGTTAGCCTAAAATGAGATTATACTCATGCTTAAGACATGTAGAGGTGTAACAATGGGGTTTTGCTATGTATTCACACCATGTAGAACAAACCCCAGGCCCCAAACATGTACACCTGTGGTACACCTGTGGTAATGGCCTTGGGCCTCAAAAAACCAGAAAAGAGGACTAAATGTTTGATGAATAGCACTATAGTCATTAGAAGCTCACAACACTTTAGCAGCAGCTAAGGACCTATGGTTTTCGATCATGTGAAACTGAGGTAACCAGGATTACTCTCAGTCTGATCTATTTGTACCTTTTTTTAGACCTATAAATAAAAGTAAAAAGAAAAGAAAATTAATCATATATCTTAATTCAACCCAGGATTACAAGATGAAAAAGAAATCACCTAACCCCATAAATAGAGTGTATTAACTATTAAGTGGGTACAACCATTGCTGATTTGGGTACTAGTTGCATGACAAACAGTGCAAATACTAAGACCAGCAAAACCAATTGAAAAATAAGGCATTTTGTAAACTTAAATACTCGTTTCTGCATCTTCTGAATCTCTTCACCACCAAAGATATCACCATACAGTGCATCCAACTTCTCAGCTTGCCCTTTTAGAATGACAGCCTTGTTTTCTACACTCACTGCCAATTTTGGAGATTGTGCTTGCTCCTTACTTAGAGAAATTTGCTCCCTCAATATGCTATCTTCAACAAGAACACTGAATTCCTTGGAAGATCTTGCTATCACAACTGACTGAACTTCAGCTTCAAGTTTTTTCATGAAAAGATCCTGCAGCTCAACTTCCATTACTATGTATCTTTTACTTTGCTGCTCCATAGTGCTCCTTACACTTTCTTGAGGTGATTCCATACTTCTCATTGTTTCTAGTTCAGCAATCCTCAGTTCCTTCTCCTTGAGGCTACCTTCAGCTTCATTCAGCTGTCTTTCAAGAGTTTGGACAATCTTGCTCAAATAGGCATGATTAAACTCACTCCAACCATCAAAAGCATTTTCCATGTAGACTAAAGGATCAACAGACAAAGATGGGACAGGAACACCACTAGTCTTGTCAGAGTCATCGCACAATGAACAAATGCCCTTGCCTATCTCCCCAAACTTCTGAACTTCTGCAAGAATCAAATGCATACTATATAAAACATGTAGAAATTACTATAGTACCTCCAATAGATGATGTGCAAGGCAATTTGGCGATTAGATCTAAAACGATTACCAAAAATAAAAGGAAAAAAAGAAAAGAAAAAAAAGAACCATGTTTTGCAATTAGCAAATCACACCTATGGCAGGAAAACATGAATTTGGAAATAAAAATCAAGAATAAAACTAAGACAAAGACACAAACACAGAAGCCAGTAAATCAATATTTTAAAAATCTTTTACTATTATTATTTTTATTGTTGTTAGCATCAAAATTGAAAAAAATTTATTCAAGTTAGTTTGGGAAATTAAAGAGCTTTTAGAAAGAAAACTGTATGTTGTGACTCTAAAAATCCTTGACGAAGAACTTGCTCATCTTTCAAATAAACAATTATTCCCCATGAGAATCTGAGTTCTGAAATTGGAAAATGTTACTTTCATGACACTTTTCAAGCCTCAAAGATCAAACTACATTCCACAGATGATCACCGTGCTCCAATTTCAATATTGAATGTCGTGGATAACCATTTATGAATTAGCAGCTAACATTTTGAATGTATCGAAAGAAAGGAAATTAAACAATGACAAATTGATATTCTAAAGGGGTGGTGATAATAATGAAATATTTTAACTCGTAAAGCAAATTGATTCCTCTGATATATGTATTCAAAATCCTTTACCTAAATAGGAGTGAAGTAGAAGTCTAGCTAACAAAAAAGAAAGGATGTAAATGGAAAGCATAACTATCAAAAAGGAACGCCAATAGTATTTGACAACAGATAAGCAGCACAAAGTTTCACAAACCATTTTGATCTAGTCCATTAATACCCATTAATACAACTCGGTTGATAAAATACAAAGGTCATAATTTTCACACATAATTGGAAGCTACATATTGAAACAAACACATTGTTCATCCATTACAGATTTTTATTGTTGTTAGCATCTATGTTAGGAAAAAGAGTAATATATACTGATGAGCTTGCCTTTCAAGGTCACTTAATTTCTAATTTGATATGATAGCTACTTTTTGTTCTATGAACCATATAGCATCTTTTTGTATGCTAAATGGCAGCCCTTTCTCTACTTCATTGGTACCTAGTTCCTAGGATTTTGGTATCTTATACTAGAATTAGCCTTAACATCTTCTTCTTCTGCTTGAACACCTTAATCCTATAAGTGAGGTTGGCTACATGAATCAACATGAGGACTTCCTAAGAGGTCACCCTTCCTACTACTACTCTCAATCATTGCAACTCATGCCAAGTGATGTGACAAAGTTTTACATTGGTTGTCACTGCCTACTGTGACCCTCCTCCTTTAACCTAGGATTTCTTTGAAGAGGATGGCTAAACAAAAATATACAAAGTTATGTTTCTTTCGTCGTTAACGGTATTTCTTGATAAATTTTACTTGTGATACATGACAACTCCCACACACTAGAATCCGAAATCCCAAAGGAAGTTAACCACCATGCTAAACCCACAAATGGCTAGCAGACCTACTTTTTCTTTTTCTTTGTTTTCACTTTTGAAAAATTACATTATAAAATAAGCAAGCTAAACTTTTTAAACTTCCTTCACTGTTAGAGCATCTATGTCCCCTCAAATTTGAAGAAATTAGTCTCACAGTAAAATGCTAAGCCCCTCCAAAAACTCCCTTTTCAGTGATTAGGTATAATTAGAGATGGAGAGTCTCACATACCAAACTCCTATGTTCAAAAGTGTTTTTTGTTGTTTGATGTGCTACAATTAGAAATGTTGGCGAGTTCATTCAGGAAAAGTACAATACAAAAAGAGAGGGATTCAAACCTTAAAGTTACTTAATTCCAAAACAATGCATGCTAATTAGTAATATTGCCATTGGCCCATTGCTGCATTTTGCCAAAGCAACTTCTTCTTTAACCTACCAAAACCACAAATCGAATTTGTAACAACTCCTGAATGTTCGAAACTTTGAACAGCACACCCAAGGCTCCTTATCACCGAAAGAGTCTTCTCTAAAATAGCTAACCAATTCATAGTGAAGAAAAACGCGCGTAACAAGACTCACTGACAGGGCAAGCATATACTACATACTACATAAACTTCATTGGCAATTTGGCATAAACCTGGTAAATTTCAAATCTACCGATGGAGAGGAACAATTATTTTGCAGCTTAAGGTTAATTCTAGTGACGTTGTCTGCCTTTTGAGCCTTACTTGATTTTCTATTGGAAGCCTAGGTTCTTCAATTTTTTAATTTATCTTTTGAAGATAAGAAAATAGGTTACATTATCAGCTAAAAAATGAGTATAGATTAAATGTGGGTTCTAAATTACATATTATACTCATTTCTTTGAACCTCTTAAATTAAATACAAAGTGACTCTTAAAAGACCCATTTTATCCCAAGAAGACGCTAGATATAGATAGATTACTTTGTCTTAGACCGACTTAGAAGATAGGGAAGCTCAAGAAAGACACAAAAGTAAGGCCTCCGGCCAAACATGCCACAAAATTGCGATTTTGAAATTGTGCCACAACAATTTCTACACCTTTTCCTTACCAAATCCAAGAAAATGAATATGTCGTCAATCCACTACCAATAAGGCAAACCCAATACTCCTAATGTGAAGTAAACAATCTCCTCCTAAGGTAATTTGTCATTTCATATTGAAGCATGAACAAGACTTTCTAATATCAATTACTAGTCATATCCAGCCTAACATTGAAGCATGTCATTAATATAGATCCTACCATACTCTTGAACAATAGAAGAAGGATATTAGTAAAAATGTGGGGGTCCAGTTAAAGTAGAAAGCTTTAACCCAAAAAAAAAAAAAAAAAAGCTATAGTAGAAAGCAAACCTGTTTGAAGAGCAAGTTGGGCAGATTGGAGCAGCAAGAGAGAGTCGAGAAGAGGATCGCTGTCAGTGGAGACCTTAGTGTTCCCATGGTAAGCAGTGGAGGACAATTGATCTGAAGAATCTGATGAAAGACCAAAATTAGTAGTTCCAGTAAGAGTAGAGGGAAGTTGTTGTTGACAGGGTGGTGGCGAAGGCAGGGGATGGGGATGGGGATGGGCTGCATCAAAGGTTGAGGGATTTGGAGTCGGAAGATGATCGCGAAAAGAACTTCTGGAATCAGACTCCATGCTAGAAAGGGGGGAGGTTTCTCTGGGTTTCTGTTTCTTGATAGGGTCGGGATGAGTCTGAGGCTGAGGTTGATTCAAGATGGGTTTGTTGGGCCTGCGCTGATTCGGATGCGGATGATGAGCTTGAGTTGAAGCTCGAAGAGAGATCTTGGGATGGCTAGCAGCCGTTGATGACTTGCTGCTACTCCGATGGCTATGGCTGTCCTCACTGTTATCGGAATCCGCACCGACATTGAAAGTGTCAACAACAGCAGCAGCTGAATTGTTGTGATTAGGTGACATTGAAGAAACAACATTGTCATTCAAAATGTTAGCAGACCCTCTCTTGAGCATTCTACCAGCAGTAGAATCGGAATCATAATCCTTTTCCTTTTCCAAATCCGTTTCCTTGGTGATAACAACATATTTTCTTCTAATCCTTCGCCACTTCTTCAACCCATATCCCTTATTAGTCAAGGAACGAGATTCCTGAATCCCGATTCCCATAGAATACAACAATTAATTTACATTTAATTGAGCAGCCTAAATCACTAATTTTTCTCAATAAAGGTTTACAAGGAGAAAGTATTAAAAACGAGAATAATAGTTCCAATTCCACAACTTAACACAGTGATAAGAGAGCAATCAAAAGTTAAATATTTTTTGGTCCACTAGTTGTGTAGCAATTGCTATCTAATGAAAGAAGATGATATGAAGACATGAATACCTGATACAATTGAGCCATCAGATTAGAATCTCCACGAACTTGCTGCTGAAAAGCAGCAGCAGGGTTGACAGCAGAACCATCAGGACTGAGGGCAAGGTCACTTGAAGATGGACTACAGGAACAAAGGACAAGTTAGAGTTAGATGATATAGAGATGATTACTATTTTTACAGAAATCGTCATAATTTGTAACAGTTCTCATGGCACATTAGTAGCATAACAACATTGTGCTATAATAAACATCCCTAAAATTGAGGGGTAAACATATTTGTGATCAATCAAATATTGCTTAAAACTAAAGCCGAATTTGTTGAATATTTTTTGCTCCACTAGTTACAACAGTGAAAAATCCATCATACGATTAATGTAGAGTGTCTAGTCCTAATTGGGGCTTAAAATTAAAGCCGAATTGGCAATACAAATAAGTGCATCAAAAATGTTAAAATGTAGTTGTAAAATGAGCAATGATATAAAGAAAGTAATATGAAAAAGTACCGAGAAGGAGGAGCAGCATTAGAAAGCATCATGATCAAATCGCCATCGCAAACACCGAGTACACTGAGTTTGTCATGGTTATTCATCTCCTTGCCATTGTACATCAATTGTTGCTGCTGCAACACCACCCCACTCTGCTCCCCCAAATCAATCAAAAACAATTACTCTACTACAATTCAATTTCATCAAATTAAAAATTAACAGATATAGATAGAGTGGTGGTTGTTATTGTACCTCGACTTCAAGCAAAGCCTTGACATTTTCGACCTGCGAAATTGGATCAAGATCCATTAGTCAGAAATTCAATGCAAAAATTGAAATTGAATTCAGAAATTAGGGTTTAAGAGAAAACTACAGCTTCGTCGGGGTCGACATCTAAGGAGATGAATTTCTCATCGGCGGTCATTACTGTGATCTTCATCTTCTTCTAGTTGTTGTTGTCATTGAAACGAATTGAATCTGTTGTCAATTTTACCAAATTAAGTGTGTTTTCCACGAACCGTCCACATAAGCAAGTTTATTGTGTTTTGAGTTTTTAAAAAAAAAAATCAATCAACACAAAACCGCTAATTAGCGATTTTATAAGAATTTGCGCATATAATTGTGGAGATTATGTAACCGTTTGGCCTAGTTTCTACAAGTGTTTCTTTATCTAAGAAATAGAAACTGGGCCAAACAAGGGTTTTTTAAGAAACAAAAACACTTTCTCAAGAAGCCCAAAATAACTTCTAGAGTGGGAAAAATAAGAAGCACCACTTTTGAGCTTCTCTATATCAGTTTCTCGGGGAGCTGATTTCCCATTTAGTGAAACTTTTTTTTGGACAAAAATATCCTTAACATTTTACAAAAAGACCTCTAATATCTCATTAAAAAAAAGAAACCCCCCTTCTCTCTCTCTTCACCTCTCATAAACACTGAGCAGCTCTTTCTCTCTCCAAAAACACGAAACGCTCAACCCTCAAGGCAAACGAAGACGGCGTTCGACGACATGCAATCCGGTCCTAGACCACCGGCGCCACCATTTCGTCCACCCAAGAGGACACAACCAAGCAATAATAAGGTAATGTTTTTTTTACTTATTAAAATTTTCTCTTTTGTGGGTAGAACCCTAATTTCTTTGCATTGATTTTGAAATAGGAGAAAGCTATAGATCTCAGTGGTTCTCCTCATCCAAATCATCCCAATACTTCACGAACAAGAAGTTCTGCCAATGAGGTTAGTGAATTGGTCCAGAATATAGATCTTGAAAATTTCATTTTTGATTCAATTTAGCAAAATACTAACCGTTTACACAAATTCAATTTCTGGGTATTCTTAGAATTTAAAGACTGGGTAAATGATACCTGTGTTAGGACAATGCCATGAAATTAATGTTAAATATAGTATGGTTATAAGTTTAATGTGATTTAGGCGGAATAGCAGTCGAAACTAAAAACAATGTCATCTGTAAGGGCTGAGCTTGTTAATCTCATACGCAGTAATGAAAAATTAGAACTCGAAAGCTTTTCTTTCATATATGTTACATTGAAGTTATTTGTAATCGTAGTGAGTTCGATATAGTTGTTGTCTAGTACAGCATTAGAGCCCAGAAATATGCAAAGTCATTAAGCTAGAGATAGGAAGTTGTTTGCTAGGCTGCTTGTTCTGGGGCATAAGGGGGTGTCAGATTGACAGTTGGGGACAATATTAGAACTATGGTCTTTATTAATTGGTAAAGTTAGGAAATGTGTCTACTTTTTTAGAACATCCTAAATTCCTAATATTGTATTATAATTGACTATTGTTTTTTGACAAAGGGATTGCTTAGTACCTCGATATTGTGTGCCTTGTTGCTATATCAGAGTAAATAAATAAATAAGGCCTCCTTGAGAGTCTTGACTTTGATATTATAAGTTGTTAAGATGAATTATCGATTTCTTTCTCTTTTAACCATTACAAGCTATGCAGTACCTGTTATACCTCTACATATATGGATGTGGTTTATTATATGCCACTGATAGCTGTGCAGTGCAAATTTTGGGCAGTTGGCCACTTGGCCATATAATTGGACGTTTATCTCGTTCTAATTGAAAGTTATATTTAAGGGCTATAGTCATGGGTATTTCTGATCTATGTTGACAATGGTGTAGTATATGTACGTAGTTGGATGTTTATTTAGTATATTCATTGCTTGTGTTGGTATCAAATTTACTTGCTTATATCCGGACAAGGTGATAGTGGAATGGTTGAAATATATTTTTGAGGTATTGAGGTTATGATATCATAGTATCATATTCTTTGTAAGAACTTATAGACAGGGAACCATTACCTAACCTTTCTTAAAGGTGAGTAATAAAGTTTGGCTATAAATTATGCATCAACAAATTAATGAACATGTTATGAATGGGCTTTATATATATATATATATATATATATATATATATATATATTAGGGAATGAAATGCATGTTGGATTTAAAGAGTACTCGGCTTGTATGTTGTAAGGTTTGTCAATATAATGCTGGTAGAATTTATAAAGCGTGACCTTGGGAGGCAGATTACATTATTATGTTGTGTGTATGGTTGGTGAAGCTTATGTGTAATGCACAACGTTTCATGGCTTTGTTTGTCTTTAGATTAACGAACAAGTAAAGAGGTCAAAAGCAACTTGGTCTGATGAAACAACTAAGATATTTTGTGAGGTTTGTGCTGAAGAGGTCCATGCAGGGAATAGACCACACACTCATTTTAGCAAAATTGGTTGGAATAATGTGGTTATAAAGTTCCAACAAAGGTCTGGTAAAAAGTATGACCAGAAGCAATTAAAAAACAAGTGGGAGAAGTTAAAAACGGAGTACGCTACATGGAAGAATCTCATAGAAAAGGAGACAGGGTTAGGATGGGATCATGAGAAAAATACAATTGTTGCATCCGATCAGTGATGGGCACTCCAAGAACAGGTGAGCATAACAATAATCTGATTTGTACATTGCCTTTTTTCAAGTAGTTAGTTTTAACTAATTACATTTATTTATTTGTATAGGCCAATCCGAGTGTTGCTAAATTTCGTGAAGCTGGAATCCAAAATTTAACAGAGTTAGAGATCATGTTTGCTAAAATAATTGTTTCTGCTACAACTTCATGGAACCCTTATTCACAAGATGATATTGAAATAGAAGACTTGACTACCATAGGAAACGAAGAGATAGAAGATGAGGAACAAGTTGACATTACTATGGATGGTAGTATCAATGAAACAGTATCTCAACAGCTTGAAAGTGAAAGCATTGACAAGACCAAAGTCAATACAACATCGGAAGAAAAAGGAAAAAAAACACAAAAAGGAAATAAATCTAAAGTTAGCACAGCTAAGCTCATGCAAAATGAGCTAAAACGTATTGTTGGTGCGATGGAGAATTTCTCTCAATCTAGGGCTACTGTAACTTCAAAAAGAACTGATCTTCCTGGTTGTAGCATTGGAGAGTGTCTAACATTGCTAGCTACAACACCAGGGGTTGAAATAGGAAGTGAACTTTATATCTTAGGAACTCGTTTATTTGTCAAACGAGAATATAGAGAGATGTTTGTTGGTATTCCTGATGAAAATATACGGAGTTGTTGGCTTGAGCAAGAATTGGAAAGGGAGAAAAAAGCTTCTCAACGTTAATTATTTTTTTATTTGTTATGAAACATTGTATTTATGCTTTGATTGCTATTTTTTTTAATTACCTTGTTGTAACAGACCAACTTTCTTATTTATGTCAGTTATTTTGATTTTCTTAGTATTTGTTATATATTATTATCATTATACTTTCTCATATAATATTAGCTTTTTATAGTTGCTTCGTTTATATAAGGTTTACTTTAAAGTATACAATTTTAATTGGTTCCTTGTTTTTTTTAATCAGGTTAGTTCAAATGGAAGTGCTTATGATGATGTAATTGATGAATCCTCCTCCGAAGAAGAAGACGATGAAGATTTATTACTTCAAGAACAACTGAGGGGTAAACAAATGATATTATATTCCGCCACAGGGGTAACGATACTTACCAAATACTATCTTAAATATTTAATTAAACAGCCTACTAGGATTTCGTTATGTTCTGGATGGCAATGGTTGCAAGAGGTTTTATCTACATCGGGTGAAAGTTATAGGATATTAAGAATGGAACCCCATGTGTTTTATAGTCTTGCTAAATTATTAATGGATAAATATGGATTAAAGTCAACTAGGACCATGCCTGCTGAAGAAGCACTCGGAATATTCATATATTTATGTGCACAATTTCAATCTAATCGTAATATGCAAAATCGCTTTAAACATTCTGGTGAAACAATAAGTAGAAAATTCAATGAAGTTCTTGAAGCAATGACAAGATTTTCTAAAGATATTGTAAGACCTTCTGATCCAAACTTCAAGGAGGTTCCAACTAAGATACGAAATAATTATAAATATTGGCCACATTTCAAGGATTGTATTGGTGCCATTGACGGAACTCATATTCCATGTGTTGTTTCGGAGGAGGATAAAATCCCTTACATTGGGCGCAAAGGTGTAACCCTACTCAAAATGTTTTAGCAATTTGTGACTTCGACATGTTATTTACATATTTTGTTGCTGGGTGGCCGGGATCTGTTCATGATAATCGAATCTTAAAAGATGCAATGGAAGACCGCAAGAAATATTTCCCTCATCCACCCGAAGGTATATATTTATGAAACTATATATTATACTATCTTCTTTACCATTATTATACTATGTTGTCATTATCTAATATTGTACAATGTACAGGAAAATATTATGTTGTTGACGCGGGTTATCCGAATATGAAAGGATTTATGGCTCCTTTTAAAGGCGAACGATACCATGTTCCTGATTTTCGTCGTTCAACACAACCTCCAAATGGTTTCTACGAGGTCTTTAATTATTCACATTCGTCATTGAGAAACGTTATAGAGAGAACATTTGGTGTCTGGAAAAAAAGATGGAGGATATTATCAATTATGCCCAGCTTTTCGTTGGAAACTCAAAAGAAACTTGTTGCAGCTACTATGGCTATGCATAACTATATAAGAAGACACGCGCTTGAAGATTTGGAATTTGATAAATGTGATGCAGATCCTTATTACATACCTGAAGTTGAAGGGGATGAGGATATTGGAGGCAACCCGGTAACTACTCTTGAAGAACATGATGGATCAATGGATGATTTTAGTATGGAGTCTATTCGCTACAATATTGCAACTTCTCTAATGAGTCGTGGATTGTAGCATTATTGGATCTTTTATTAGGAATAATAATAGCAGACATTTTGGATATGATTTTTTTATATTTTGACAAAAAAATCTAAGTATTTAGACTTATGAATTGTTCAATATTTTAAATTAAATTTAATCTTACAAGCTATTATAAACAATTTGCTATTAAAAAACAAAAAAAAAACTATTATTAACAAAAAAAACTATTATTAACAACAATGTACAAGAAATTAATACTAATTTATTCTCCCAAATAATTTTTTTTAAAAAAAAAAACTAATATGGGCCAAACAGGGTAAAATAGTTTCTCAATCTAAGAATCACTTCTGATTTTTGATGGGCCAAACAAATCTATTTCTTACAACTGTTTCTCTAGAAATAGTTTCGGGAAAACTACTTCTGGGAAACAGAAGTTGTTTTTCAAAAGCTTGGCCAAACAAACCCTATTTCACCTAACAAGTAAACCAATTAGCGGTTTATATGTGTATAAAACCGCTAATTCAGGGCTTGTTTGACATCATTTTTTGTTTTCAGTTTCCTTTTTTTTGAAAACTAAAAACTGGAAACAAGAAAAAGGTGTTTCCACTTTTTTATTGTCAGTTTTCAAAATTATCATGATTTTAATAAGTCTAAATAATTTTTTTTTTGAAAGAATAAATCTAAATAATTTTTTGATTCATTATGTGACATATATATTATACTTTTAAAAAACAAACAACAAAAAACCATAGTGATGTCAAACGAACCCTCAATTAGCGGTGTACTAGTAAATTGTAAAAAAAAACAAATTAATTAAAATGCTGGGTTAGACGGTATGGGGGGAATTTTTTGTAAAAGGAATGTAATTTGGGAATTTTTGAATTTTTGATCAATTTTTATGGAAATCACTCTTTACTAATTAACTTAAGAAATTATTTGAAAAAAAAACACACCAATGATACAACTGAACAACCGCCGCCCCCAACCCCCCTGACCCCCACCTCCGACGACTGACGCCTTGCTAATGCCCTGGCTTGCCGGCGCCCATTTTGCTGGCTCATTCGCCCTCCCCCGCCAGCGAAGCTCAACCCATTCATCTCCCATTCCCGTTTGGATTTCAAGATAGTTCAAGGCAAGATTCCTGTTGGGTAATGTGGGTAGTTTTGAGTCTAATTTAAGATTTTGGGGCAAGCGAATAGGAGACGAGGGTCATTCCAGGGAGGTAGGAGTGTTTATGTGGTGGATTAGGGAGGAGGAATTGGTAGGAGGGTGGCGTTTTTTTCCCTAAATTTTCAAAATTTTAAGCTAATTCTAATAATTACCTTTTTTTTTGTTACTGTACATTCAAGATTTTTGGCATTCTTTTTCATTTTATTCCCTACTTTTTATAAATTTTGAGATAACTCTTATAATTAGTGTTTAAACAATTATGTCATTTAAATTGTTCATTTACTTATTTGCCCTCATTTTATTAGTTGATTCTTTATTGAACCCTTAAGAATAGTATGCGTGTAATACCCCAATTTTCAAGCTAGTATAAACTTTTAAACTTTAACTAGATATGTTATTTTAATAGATTTTATGATTATTATTTTCGTATTTGATATTATATATAAAAAAAAAAATTAAAAAAGAAACAAAAAATACTGAAAACTGATAATTTTCAGAAAGTGATTTTGGATTATTTCAAGAAGCTGATTTTGTAAAAATAAAAAAAAAATAAAAAAAAAAGAATGTGAAACCGATTTTCTAGAATTGGTGTTATCGGATAAAAAAGAAAAACAACAAACTAATTATATTTGAAATTAGTTCTTATCTTGTAGAAGACCTTCTGGATGAATCTACCTTCACAATATTAAGTTTATAAAAGCCCAATCTCACGCACCCAAATTGCTATGAGAAAATATTAGCTCCAAGAAGCTTTCTTTTTCCCTCAAACCGATTATTATCCCTTAGTTTGTTTCATTTGCTAAAACACCAACTATAATTGATTGAGTATAGTGGTAAGCCATGATTCTCCTTCACCTATCATTCTTGATAATAATAATTGTTAGCCAACCCACCACGAACTACGCCTTTGTCCCTTGACCTTAATTTATATTTCTATGCCTTTTTCCGATTCACATTTTAAGGAGTATGGTTTTTATTATATATTTTTGTTTGTTAAAAAGGGGGGGGGGTTTGTTTGGTCTTCTGTAAATTGTAAGATAATTCTTTCAATCATAGACAATGGTTAGGCGAGCAACAATGGTGGGGAAAGATGAGTAATTGATCTACAAAGTTAGAAAGAGTTGGCAGACATCTCTTTTATAACAAAAAAAAAATCTATTTCCTTTCTTTTTACGTATACGTGGACCAATCCCACAGTGACACGTGGCCCAATTATGGGGTGACACGTGTCACCACGGGAAGATGCCACGCAATCCAGAGTTTTTAAGGTCTCAGGCCAATCCCATGGTGACATGTGGCCCAGCTATAGGGCGACACTTGTACCACGTGAAGATGCTTCTAAAAAACAGCACGCCAAATAGGCCTAACAACGTCAGGGCCCAAATTCTGAGAGATGACACTGAAAGCCGCAAAACGGCGCCCTCAGAGGGGCACGTGGCGATCGCTGATTGCGCAGCCAATCACGTCACGCAAATCTAGGGTATAAACCCTAGAGGGGCACGAATCCCACCCCTATAAATACCCCAATCATTTATGATGAGGGGGGGATTTTTAGACAATTGAAAACACAGAGCATTAAATAGCTCCAACTTCTCTCTACTTTCTCTCTCTAGCCCTTTTTCCGTTCTGATCACTGACTTGATCGTCGGAGGCGAATATTCCGTTGAACGGAATATTCGTGGTTTTGCAGGTGGGACCAACGTATTGCCAGCAAAGAGTGACCAGTATCCCAGGAGATCCAAAAAAGACCCGAAACATTTGGCGCCGTCTGTGGGGATACTCGTACGTTATGGCGATAGACGATCGGACACCTAATCCAGGCGAGGATGGACATGTAGAGGATATAATCCCTATGATCCGTACTAGTGATCCTCTAATAGCCACATTTGAAGAAGCTGATGATCCTCCTGTTACTGCAGCCTCTCTTAAGGCCGCACTTAACAAACTCAGAAAAGAAATGAAAACGGAGCCTCTACCTCTAGGCAGCCGCCCAGGAGAGAGGAACAGAGGGCTCCAAGAAAGACACACAGCAAAATAGTCCATGCAACGGACGCCGGAAACACTCCATTTCGAAGGCCGACTGGAAGGTCCCCGAGAGTACCGCGGACTAATTTCTCTGAATTGTTGGCGAAAACGCAGTCGGCTGGGGGGAGGGGTAGGCAGCCTCGTAGAGAAGAGCCTGAACCGTCCAGACGATGGAAGGACGCAAGAGAGTATCTTAGGCATAAGCAGCGGGAACGCGTTGCCCACTCGGACACGGCTTCAACCCCAACTATGCCGGATGATTTTTCACATCATTCTCTCTCCCAACATACCAACACGGCCACCTCCAGTGGGAGTCAGGCAATTCGCACCCCAACTCCTATTCCAGTCTTCCATGCTCCAACTCCAGTTCAGGCCCAATCACTGCAATATCAACCTCAGGGGTTCAATGGCTTGATGCAGCCAAACCCCCAGGCATACGTACAATATGGGCCATATGGGCAGGTGTACGGACAAGCTCCCTATCTGACTGGACCGTCCATGCAACCGCAACCCATTGATTGGCAGATGCGCCTACTTACTCTGGGAGATAAGACGCCCCCGTTTTCGCAAGATATCCTAAATGCCCCTCAGCCACTAAAGGTGAAGAGTGTACTTGTGGGAGCCTATGATGGCACGGGCAACCCAGAGGAGCACATCACCTCGTACAAGAACCTGATGTATTTGCAAAGTGTAGATGATTCTACGTGGTGCAAATGTTTCCCAGCCACTCTGAAGGGTGTGGCACAGGACTGGTTCAATAGTTTGCCGGCTGGTTGTATCAATTGTTTTACCACTCTTAGTTTGCTGTTCGTGGGAAATTTTTCATACAACATACCACCTCGAAAGACTAGCCTTAACTTGGCGACAATCATCCAAGAAAAAAATGAGGGCTTACGCTCGTACGTCCAACGATTTAACCAAGAAAAAGCCCAAATTCATAATTTACCGGATGAAATGGCTTACTCTGAATTTCTCCGGGGATTAAGGCACAATGGTTTTAAATTTGACTTGGTAAGGAAAAAGACTCGGACATACGCAGGTGTTCTGCGGGAAGCCGAAGCTTATATTGAGGCGGCGGACTTTTGTTCGCTCACAAAAGCAGAAGCGCCGGCCAAGGGAGCTGAGAAGAAATCTTCTAAGCAAGACTCGACCGGCCAAAAGAAAGAAGGAAAAAAGAGAAAAGAAGTCTGGGTGGCTGATGGCCAGCCGCAGAAAACCAAGAAGGTCAAGGCGTACGAGCCCCAGTTTGAATTCAACAAGGATTGTTATTCTATCTTGATGGAAATCAAGGATAAGTTTGAGTTTGAGAAGCCACAGCCGCTGAGAGGCCCAGCTCAGTACAGGAACAAGAACAAGTATTTTCATTACCACAAGGACGTGGGACATGACACAAATGATTGTATCAACTTGAAGAGACTGCTGGACAAATTGGCCGAGAAGGGCATGCTGAATTCATATGTGATGAAGTCCAAATTCACTTACACACGGACAAACAACACGTCCGAGCAAAGACAGAAGAATGATAAGAACAAAGATAAAGAGGATGACGGCAACAACACTGATTCGGGCTTTGTGGCCGTGATATTAGGAGGATTTGCCTCAGGCGGTCCCACTAAGAGAGGGATCAAGCAGGATGCTTGGAACTTGGGAAAGGTGATGCAGATGGATTCAGTGAAGGCTGAACCCTTCCCCGAGGTAATTATCAGTGAGGCCGATCGGGGGGAGGTCAAAGCCTTACACAATGATCCCATGGTATTCATTATGAAGATAGCCAATCTAAAGGTCGGACGAATATTGATAGACACAGGTAGCGCGGCTGATATAATCAGCCTGGCCGCCTTGAAAAATCTAAGCTTCCCAGAGGATGCTCTCTAAGACATCACTCACCCGTTGGTCGGATTTGGGGGGAATGTCATCCACCCGGTGGGCCGGATAGATTTACCCGTCCGATTTGGGCAAAAAGGGGAAGGAAGAGATATGGTTGTCCGCTTCTTGGTTGTGAAAGAGCTTACTGGCTATAATGTCATACTCGGTCGTCCTACGCTGAATGCAGCAAAGCAGTCATTGTGCCTCACCTAATGTCGCTAAAGTTTGAGAGGACGGACGGGAAAATAGGTACAATCCAAGGAAGTCAGAAGATGGCAAAGGAATGTAATCAGTTGGCGGTTAAGCCTACAGCGCGCGGACCAAAATCGTCCGAGCCAAAAGAAGAAGGAACCTCACTCCCAACACACCAGGTTGGCCAGAAGCGTAAGGCGGCCAAGATAGAGCAAGCATAGCAGCTAATGACTGTCGGTCGGCCAGAAGAGTTACGACCCCAGCCGGCCGGCAGTCACCAGGATATAATGCTCGACCCTGATCAACCAAATCGGACAGTCAGTGTAGGCACTATAGCTTTGGGTGTGCTTGGGGATGAGTTAATTCAATTATTGAGAGAGTTCAAGGATGTATTTGCATTTGAGGTCGGCGAGATGCCAGGCATAAGTCCAGATCTGGCTGTGCACAAATTAGCGGTAAATCCGGCCGTTAAACCTATCCGCCAGAAGAAAAGAAATCATGGAGAGGAAAGGAATCAGGCGGCCGCAGCAGAAGTTAAGAAGCTTCTAGACGCCGGTTTCATTCGGCAATGCTTTTACCCAGAATGAGTGGCTAATGTGGTCCTTGTCAAAAAGCCGAATGGAACTTGGAGAATGTGCGTGGATTACACAGATCTAAACAAGGCATGCCCTAAGGATAGCTTTCCCCTGCCCAAAATCGACTGGCTGGTTGATTCGACGGCCGGGCATGCCCTGATGAGCTTTATGGACGCATACTTCGGATTCCATCAGATTCCGTTATGGGAAGAAGACCAGGAGAAAACGGCGTTCGTGATTGAGCAGGGGTTGTACTGTTACAGAGTCATGCCATTCGGCCTTAAGAATGACCCAGCTACCTTTCAGCGACTTGTAGACACAGTCTTCATAGATCAGCTCGGCCGGAATATGGAGGCGTACATTGATGACATGATTGTCAAGTCAAAAGAGCCGACCGACCATTTGAAGGATCTAAGAGAAACTTTTACCGAACTCAGGCGGCATAAGATGATGTTAAATCCAAAGAAATGTGTCTTTGGTGTTGAGTCCGGTAAATTTCTCGGATGTTTAATTGATCAACGTGGAATTGAGGCTAACCCTGAAAAAATCCAAGCTGTCTTGGACATGAAGTCACCAAGGACAATTAAAGAAGTCCAAAGATTGACCGGCTGTTTGGCCGCACTTGGTAGATTTCTGTCAAGATCAGGGGATAAGTGCCGCTATTTCTTTCAAACCATAAAAAAGAAGGCTATGTTTGAGTGGACTGAGGAAGCCGAGGAAGCATTCGTACAACTAAAGGGCCACTTACATACATTGCCTCGGCTTGTCAGTCCACTTAAGAGCGAGAAGTTGTTCATCTATCTTGCTATCTCAGAGCACTCCTTAAGTGCCGTCCTACTTGCTGAGCGGGACGGCCGCCAGATCCCTGTCTACTTTGTTAGCCACGTCCTACATAACGCTGAGCTAAGGTATCCCCCCATTGAAAAATTTGGCTTGGCATTGTACATGGCATCAAAAAAGCTGCGTCCATATTTCTTGGCACATTCAATTGTGGTCTACACAGACCAACCTTTGAAGAAACCATTTACAACGCTAGAGGCAAGCGGCCGTATGCTCAAATGGGCCTTGGAAATGAGAGGATTTGATATTACATTTAAGCCAAGAAAAGCAATCAAGGGGCAAGCCTTTGCTGATTTTTTAGCTGAAATGACCCGGCCGGATCTTCAGACGGCCGGAGATCAAATCTGGAAAGTGTTTGTGGATGGCAGTGCGACAGCCACTGGTTGCGGTGCAGGTGTTATATGCCAATCACCTGAAGGAGATAAGTTTGAGTACGCCCTGAGATTCCAGTTCCAAGCCTCTAATAACGAGGCCGAGTACGAAGCCCTCTTGGCCGGCCTCAGAATGTGTAAGGCGGCAGGAGCGACAAAAATTGACGTGTGCTCGGACTCCCTACTTGTAGTCGGCCAGGTGAATGGAGACTTTGAGGCGAGGGAGCCGGCCATGATAAAGTACTTGAAGATTGTAAAAGAGGACGCTGAGAGCCTAGATCATTTTACCCTACAGCAGGTCCCACGTTCGTCCAACCATCAGGCGGACGCCCTCTCTAAGTTAGCATCCTCAGCATCATGTGATACTCCCAGGTCAGTGTTTTGGGAAGTAAAGGAGAAGAGGAGCATTGATGTTGAGCCAGTGCATGCAATTGATAGAAGCTCCACTTGGATGGACGGGATCCTGTCTTACCTCAAGGACGGATTACTCCCGGCCAATCCTAAAGAGAGCTGGTTGATGAAAAAGAGAGCAGCTTGGTTTGAAGTTAAGCAAGGAGAGTTGTTCAAAAAGGCATTTGTAAAGCCATACCTGAAATGCATTACTCCTGAGAGAGGGTATGATGTCTTGGATGATATTCACCAGGGGCAGTGTGGTTCTCACATTGGAGGACGCGCTTTGGCTGAAAAGGCTGCCCGCCTGGGTTACTACTGGTCGAGCTTAAAGTCGGACGCAATGGAAATGGTGAGGAAATGTGACAAGTGCCAGAGGTTCGCAACATTAATTCACCGACCCGCCAACAACCTTTCGGCCATCAGTAGTCCGCTCCCCTTTGCCAAATGGGGGATGGACATCATAGGTCCATACACACCAGCGTCCGGCCAGAGGCGGTATGTGTTTGTAGCAGTTGACAACTTCACAAAATGGGTAGAGGTCGAGGCCGTCCGAGGCATCAAGTGGACAGATGTTACACCCTTCATATGGAAGAGTATCATTACGCGTTTTGGCGTTCCCCAGTCTATGGTGTTTGATAATGGACCTCAGTTCGAAACGCCTCAACTCAAAAAATGGATGGAAGACCAAGGCACAGCTCATTGCTTTGCTTCGGTCGGTCGCCCACAAGCGAATGGTCAGGTAGAGGCATATAACAAATTGATCTCCAATGGAATTAAGCGCAAGCTAGAAAAAGCAGGTGGCTTGTGGGCTGACGAATTGATTAATGTGCTGTGGTCCATACGAACCACGGCCAAAAGTTCCACAGGAGAAACTCCCTTCTTCCTAGTATATGGTGCTGAGGCGGTCCTTCCCATTGAAATGTATGAGCCCACTCTTAGGGTGATGCTATATGATGAAGCGGCCAATTGGGAAGCCATGAAGATCGCTCTAGACTTCCTTCCTGAAGCTAGGGGCAATGCGGCGCTTAGGCATGAAATCTATCGTCTTCGGATAACCAGGGCATACAATCGCCGAGTGTCAAAGCGGCCGATAAAATTGGGAGATTTGGTCCTAAGGAAGATGGAAGCGGTCGGGCGAGCAAATGAGGATGGCAAGCTGACCCCAAATTGGGAAGGGCCTTATCGAGTCGGGGAAGAGGTCAGAGATGGGACTTATCGTCTTGAAGCCATGAACGGCCGACCCATCCCGCGTACATGGAACACCGACAATCTAAAGAGATATTATGTTTAATTACTTAGCCAAAAAGCTGTGTATACAGCTAGATTTGTTGACCGAGCAATGTAAGTCGTACGACCATGACAATGTAATTTTAACAGATTAATGAAAAAGTCAAACATTGTTATAATCATTTTTCCATTTTATTAATGCTTATTTGTACAAGTCATAATTTATATGGATAGGCCGCGTGAAAGTTGCAAGTAGGTTACTTGCAACATAGCAACACGGTCGCAGAACAGAAATAAATTAAATAAAATAAGAATGGGCAGCTTGAGCCCAAAATTCACGCGAATGCATCCGCCCTAAATTAATGCGGACGATAGGGGTAAGGTACCCTGTGAAACCCACATAGTGGGGCAAGGGCATACCGAGGCACTCCAGCCTAGCCGAACATGAAAATTTTAAGTTGAGATCACACTTGGAATTTCCTGAGTGCGTCCGAGCGATAGTTTCAACGGGCAAACTCAAATAAAGCCCATCGAACGGCCAATTTATGTGTTGATTCGGCGTACCGCCAAGTCCAAGGGCAATCATTATTATGATTTGATTAACTTGGTAAAAGTCATACCACCTAAGGTATAAATTCTACCAAGCCAATCAAATCACCCAAAGTATGGACTAGGCGAACGCCGAATAAAGGGGCATACCCCCCAATTGTACGCGGATATAAAAACCAGAAAAGTACGCGTATAAAAATGCAAAAAACTCATTAAGTATAAAATAGGCAACGTATGAAGCAAAATCGGAAGCCAAATCAATAAAAGGGCTGCTCAAAAGGCGGTAAAATATCTTACATAAAAACCGCTCAAAAAGGCGGTTGAAAAAGTCAAAAAAAAAATATACATGAATAAGAGCTTAAAAACAGAAAGCTGAAAGTCAGGGGGCGGCCGGAGCAGAAGCTGAGTCTTGGACTGGGATGGGATCCTGAAGAGCTGCAGGAGAGGCGTCCTCGGCTGGTACCTCTTTGCTCTCCGCTTCTCCATCATTGCCGTCCGCCACTTGATTTTCCTCATCCTCTGAGGTTGTTGGTGTGGCGTCCAGCTCAGGAGAAGGCTGGCCAGCCTTCTTAGCCTCCTCCCTGAGGCAGACGAAGTTGAGGCGCTTAGTGAAGCGCTTGAAAGTAGGCGGCCTCCCCATCCTCCACCATGAGCTCGAACGCCTCGAAGAAGAAACTCTTCAGCCTATCCTCAGCGTTCTGCTCGATGCGGACGACCTCGTCTGCGCTAGGGGCCTGAGGTGTTTGCAACTGGAGAGTTAAGTCCTCAACGGACTTCTTTAAACTTTCCACCTCGGCCCTCAGAGTGTTCCACTCGTCCAAGGCCTCCTTTAAGTGTTTTTGGGCCAAGGCCACATCACTTT